CTCCCTATTTCATCCACCACATTTTAGGATGCATTTCCTTTCCCTCAAATCACGTAATTACTACGTGATCCTCTAACACATCCGGTTGTCTTCCTCATTAGTCACAGCCAGCTAACTGCTGAGCTCCCAGCACACAGCAAAAATTCTTCCAGCCCATAATGGTATGGCTAAAAAGCTATTTGAAGTCAGCACAGCAGAAATGTGATGAAATTTAACCAATGATATGCAGCCCATACTGCGTAATTCTGGCTGGAAAATTATTCCAGAGTTTGTCATCTTCCAATTTAACCAGCATATGTTTTCTTTTTACCACTGATACTACCAAAAATAACCATTAAGACTGGCATCATGACAAAATCCATGAAGATTAACATGCTTACAATATTCTGGTCTAAAACTTTCATTTTCTTCCCTTTTAGCCATTTATTTCTCTAATGAACCACGGGATCTGTTACATGTCTTCTACAAAACTCAGGTATTGAAGAAGGCACAAAGTGCAACCTTCCCTTGTTAAAACCTATTTCCATTTACTCCATTTAACATATACCTCCATGTCTAACTATTTTTTCCTTCCAAGATTTCCTCTTACATTCTCCATGTGAATCATATTATCCTCCCAATTAAATATAAATAAGACACCTTGTATTGTGAAACCCTACAGCACTATTTCTGACTTACAAGATTGAAGAAAACATATAAAATGGTAAACACACTGGAAACCTAATTTTTTGCAGGGTGTGACAGTGGAAGATAAACACCCCTCTGACTTGAGCATATGAATTTTGCTCCATATCAACTAACACCACTGCCCTCACTCAAAGGAACCTTTAATTCATAAATAAAGACAGAGAAAATATTTGCTCTTGTCTTATAGTTTCTTTCTCTTTCCTACTTTTAGATGGGAGAACAAGTTCTGATCCTTGTTTTGCAAGGTCTAATTCAGCTTTGTGTCTTTATCTACGCTTGTTGACATTCAAGTCTACAGTTTCCATATCTACAGTGCACACAAGGTGAAGAGTCAGGTTGCACTCAAGCAGCTTTTAATTGAACTCTGATGACCAGGGCTGATCCTAATTCAAAAACATTCAGACTGCAAAGCTTGTGACTGACTTTTCTAAAGGTGCAGCAGAACCTGTTGGTGGGTGTTTTGCCCCTGACACCAGGGAACCAGGACCTCACAGGACCCCTTCATGTCTATTTTAGTTTCCAACACACCTAAGTGTGAAGACATAAAATTCTATTCACAGCAGCACAAAATCCAGTTTTACTTGTGAAGATTTAGAAGCACGTGAAATGAGTTACAACTATTACTTTCTATACCTCAGTTTATCAGAGATTTTCCTGCTGAACCACAGAAAATTTATATCGAAAGGAAACAGGTGGTAGAAGGGAAGAGAAATGGCAAATAAAAACGTAAACAAAAAAAGCACAGCCCAAAAATTCCAATGGTACTTAAGTAAACAATGTGAAAGATACTGATCAGCAAATACTGCTTTCCTTGTTCCAGGTGGTCCCTTAAGATTAAATCTCCCCAAAACCAAGATCCATCAGCATGGATATCAAACCCTGAACAAATCTAGCCTACAGAAGAATGAAGGAGAGTTGGAAAAGAGCTGGAAAAGTTCTTTTCCAGCTGGAAAGAACACATCCCAAGGCAGTGAAGGTTACTTCTTGCAGTGACAAAGGCAGCAATCACTGAGACAAATTAGATGGAAGTACATTTTAACCTATTAAAGCCTTTATCCTTTTAAGTGTCTTTTGCAGTTAGTATGTTAACTCTTTCTTTAGAAACACAGTTGCTGAAGTTGTTATTTCGTGTAATAAAATGCCATTTCCAAAAGCTTTTGCAAGACTTGGGATGAATTCCTAAGCAAGCTTTGTCCAGATGGAGAACTGTTTGTAAGAAGAATCATCTACCATAAACTGGGCTTGTATTACCATTTTCACAGGAATAATGACCAATATTCAAGCAGTTACAGGATAGAACTAAACTCTCAGGGTATCCTCAATCTTGTTTGCTGACTGGGAAGAAGGAAATGCCTGGAGTGGCTCTTTGATAGAACTGGACTCCACATTGATAAATGTTTCTTATCCATCTGGTGCTGTATAAGAAACATGTTGCTCAGCCTTGCCTGTTCACATAAAATGTCACCATAACCTTTACATTTTGCACGGGATATAAATTTGTAAAAACCAGCAGGTTTGCGCTGAGTTCCAGAAAAATCAACACCCACTCTTTAGTCCTGCTTTTCCTCTTTGAATTTCAGCTTGTTAATAAGGCACCCACAAAGGTCACCTTGGACAGCAATGGAAAGTCAAAGGGAGCTCCTTTCTGGGCCTTGTGTCCTTTCATGACTTTAAAGAGAGGTCTATCAACAGCAGGTGCCCGAGGGCACACGGTGTTTACACGTGGCCAGGTCCCAGCACAGCACAGTGGCCACCAGGCACACACTGAGGCTGGGCAGGCTCAGGACCCTGCTCGGCCAAGGTACTTTCTGAAGGTGCCTCAATGAAGCTGAGTCTCCACTGGAACGACACACACAGTTCAGTTCCCCTTCCCTCTCAGGATCCTGTGCAGAGCTGCTTTCTCTGCTTAGGCTGGTACATAACATGTTGTAGCATCTCCCACTTGTATTTGTTTGAGGTTGAGTATTGTGCTTTGAACCCTGCAGCTCTCAGGCAGTGCTACATAATCACACACTTGTACATACATCAGCTCCATGCCATCCCCTCACTTTTCTGTAACACTGAACACCAGAAATAACCCAGACATGGAAACTACTTCATGCATTACAGTACTCATGAACTAAAAGCTAAGTATATTGCACGTTGGTAAGAATAAGAGGTTTTTCTCCCACAGAAGGAACCCACTATTTCCCCCAGCAGCATACAAAAAGGAAGGGTCAATGCTGTGCTAGCACAAAGGTGAGGCAGGCAGCCAGTGCTCCCAGGCTGCAGCAGTGCCTAATGGCTTGGTTGCCTCACACATAACCTCATTCTTCATCTTATGCTTCAAGTCACTACCAAGGTCTAACAACATAATTAGAGGTTTCCTGCAATGAGTGGCAAATGCAGGTGAACTACTTTGAATGCAACCACTACAGCAGTGCTTGTAAGTGGCAAGTAGCAGGGAAGAGGAACAAAGATTAGAAAACAACTTCAACAGCAAAGGGTGCTCAGTATTCACCTAGAAATCACATTAAAACTATTGTTTAAAACACCTGACTTGTTCGAAATTTCACCAGTTCTGATAAGAAATATGACTGCAAGACTACACAGAGTCGACACAGTCATCCAAACTACTCTGTGAGGAGCAACAGTTTAACTATGGCCTGGTGTCTCTCTTCTCCCTGCTCTCCCTCTTACTGCGCCTTCCAACACAGTAAAATTCTGAGAGGGGAAAGGCAGCATTCCCTGACACCATTCGTTTTGAGAGTGGCAGACAGTACTGCCCAAGGGATTTCAGATCAAGGATATTCTCCCAAACTAAGGCTTCTGAGAGCAGTGTATGTGGCCAGCACTGACAGCACACTTGCAATCCTCCAACAGAACCAAGGAATAAAAAGCCAAAACTAAAAGACATCAAATAACTTATGCACACATCAACCACAGAGACAGCCAAGAACATAAAGCTGTATCATCTCCAAAGAGAGCTTCTGACTGTTTATTTTAAATTAAGAAGCAAAAACCATATGGCAAAAATTTTAAAAAAACTTCCATTATGTCCAATTAAGTGAAAAAAAACTATTTGGTCTATAGGATTTCCCCTAGTATTTATTGACTCCTTTTACTTGGCTTTTATTGTAAGGTCTGCAAAGCAAAGTCTGGAAAAAACTGAACCTGACTGTATATAAAAAAAATAAAACATTGATTACACAGATTTTTTTTTTTATGAAATGCCTTACACTTATATGAAACAGGTTTGTGGTTTAACAAGAGGTTTAATTTGAAATCTGAATCTTGTTCTGGGGGAAAAAAAAAAAAAAACCCAAAAAAAAAAAAAAAAAAAAAAAAACCCAACCCAAAAACCCTTTCCCAGTTTATCTCAGTGACAATTTTCTAAATTAGTTGAAGACCTCCCAGTCCTGCAGTAACCTTCACAGATAAATACTCATTCCTGTATCTATGTTTCTATTTTTATCAGGAGAAATACTCCTTATCAGGAGTGTCTGAAGTACAAAACATTGTTTCTATACTTGTATTTTCATTTTGGCCTGCTCTGTAAATAACAACATGCAAATGTCAAATTTCGTTGCAGGTCTTTGCAAATCGTGCCTTCATAAATAAGCCTCCTCTAAAAATAAAAACTCCATCCCATACACACACACAGAGGAACAATTTTAAGGTTCCAACTCTCATATGTCTTTGAAAGGAAATCACCAAGAAACAAATTCAAAAGTTTCTGAAGTGGAAAGAGCACAATCAAGAGGAAAAAAAAAATTTTTTTTGAGAAGGGCTGATTGTTTTCATCGATGTCACAAGCTGCTTGACACATTCAAATATTTTGTTTAAAATAATCAGTGTAATGGACTATAATGGAACACACTTTGTGCGGCATTACGCAACAGAAAAGGTATGCAAGTTTAATCAACTATTACTTAGCATATTCCCTGCTTGAAGTCAGGCAGCGTTCGCCCTACAGCTCACACATTCCTCAGCCCTGTAAATGACCCGAGATTGCCATCGCAGCCCGAATGACACTGCAGTGATGCTGTCCCCTCCCAGCCCATCGGCTCAGCCTAGGGACAGCGATCCGATCTGCAGCAAAGCGACCCAAACGCTGCTGCGGGCACCAAAACCACAAACAAACAACAAACCCCAAACATGACCCGAGATTGCCATCGCAGCCCGAATGACACTGCAGTGATGCTGTCCCCTCCCAGCCCATCGGGAGCGATCCGATCTGCAGCAAAGCGACCCAAACGCTGCTGCGGGCACCAAAACCACAAACAACAAACCCCAAATCTCCACCCCTGCCTGAGCAACGCGGAGCTACTCACCATTCACGGCTGCGGGAAACTGAGCCATCATGGTCCCGAATGCGCCCCGCTAGCCCTCAGCCATCTGCAACATGAAAACATGGTGCCATTAATAATGCAACAAGGGCAGAGCCGAGCGGGGCGCGCCCGGCCCCGCTTCCCACAGCAAACAATGCCCGGCCCGGGCTGCTGCTCAACCAGCGGCATCCACACCGGGGAGCGCCGGCGGGATTTATTTTGGTCTCTCTCTCTCTTTTTTTTTTTTTTTTTTTTTTTTGTCTAGGGTATGCAGTGCAGTCCCGAGCCTTGTGGCAGTTCTTAAAGGAAAACCGTACCAACTGTTGGGAGTGATGCGCACAAACAGCTCCCGGGACGTATGGCTGAGCCCCAGCACATCCCTCCCCGGTAAACATTTAGTGTTTCATTTAAAAAAAGTTCAGTGCTCAGCTCCGTGAGCGAAAGCTGCTGCTGAGCAAAGTGGAAAACCAATTATTATTCAAATTCATCCACTCCAACACTCCACGCACTATTAACAAAGAAAACACTCTTACATGATGTGTTCTGAAGAAAGGGCTTGTCCCAATAAAAATCTGTCATCAGCCAGTTTTGCAGAAGCAACACAATGAAGTTACTCCTTCTCCTGAGCTACTGCATAAACACTCAAAAGCAGCATTTAAATGGGGTAGCAACAGAATTTACTTTCATAATAAATATCAGAGAACTAAGATTTTCTTTTTCTAGTACACATTCTTTCAAGAGTACCCATATAAAGAATTCTTTAGAGTCGCAAAACAGTCACTAATAATTATCTGAGGGAAAAGCATGAACAATTCACTGCTTTACAAATATAGAACTAAGACAATGAAGTGAGCTTGTGCTTTGGAAGAGATAATTTTACTGAAATACTGAAATTTATACATCATTATTATTTTGCTCTCTGTGGACAAACTATTGTACAGGATGAAGCTAGAAAAATGAAATATTTATTTTAATTAAAGAAACATGAATCACATCTCCCCCTTTTCAGACACCAAACCTCCTACCCACACTCAGACACAAAAAACCCCTTCACCTCAATACGAGCACATATTTTAATATTAAGTACAGAAATATCACATCCCCCATACTCCCTTCCTGCAAAGAAATTCCTGCACATCTGAGCACAAAAACCACACAGCTGGAAAGCACTCCAGTTCCACCTGAGGACAGGAAAGCTTTTTTTTTTTTTTATGTACTGCACATTTCTTCAATAAAATTAAAAATGTCTGGGATCAGTTGTTAATAATTCTTTATATATAGTTCACATCACTATTATACATACATTTGTGGCTACACACACATGTATACATACGTACTTAAAGAAAGTAAATGGAGTGGTTGGTGAGTCCAAATGATCTCTCACAATGACACAAGGTATCAACCACAGAAAGATGAAAAAAGAAAGCATGGACCTGTTCCAAGACATGGACGTACCAAGCAGCCTACCAGGAGACACTTGAGATCTATAAAGAGCTTTCCCGAAAAACGCTGCCAATGTTGTTAAACATTTCTACAGCACATTTCTCTGCAAAAGCTGTTCTGTCAAGGAGGTCTAAAACAGAATCTGAAACCATGACACAGAAGCAGGATGCTGGAGAACACCCCCAGAATCAGCAGACTTCCACCTGCATGTGACTTGTTCCTGATTTAATCTTATTGGTCAAGGGCTACGTATTTGATCTTTCCTCCAACTCACTTTATTCTCTTAATTTCAGGCAGCTTTTAGTTTTTTTGGTTTTTTTTAATGAGTAATCACAAAAACATAGACTATCCCAAGCTGGAAGGGACACAAGAGGATCATTGAGTCCAACTTCAGACTCCATGCAGGACACCCTAAAAGTTAACCTGTGTATCTAAAGAGCACTGGCCAAACACTTCATGAACACCAGCCGGGGCCATGACCCCTCTCCTGGGGGCTTCTTGTGCATGTTTGCCCTCTCTGTGGAGAACTTTTCCTTATATCCAACCTCAATGTGCTCTCATATGGCTTTAAGCCATTCCCTCATGTCCTGCCACCAGAAGAGACCAGCACTTCCCTTGCTGCTCCCACCATGAGGAATGGGAATGGGGTCACCCCCTCAGTCTCTTCTCCAAACTGGACAAACCTCACATCCGCAGCTGTTCCTCAAAAGTCTTGCCCTCTAGTCCTTTCACCATCCTTGTTTCCCTCTTTTGGACATATTCTGGTATTTTTATATGCTTCTTACACTGTGGGCCCAAAAACTGGACACAGTACTTGAGGGGAGGCCCCACAATACAAGTCAGATAATGATCAGACAATACAGGTCTTGATAGCAAACTGATTAACTCTTCAAGCCCCAGATTTTAAGATATACTTTTAAAATACTTAATACAGCTCACAGTTATACAGTCTCATTTTGCCTTGGTTTTGCTGAAATGGTTTGTGTAGATTGAGCTTTCAAAATCCTCCACCGCTGAGCACATGAGTGGGAGAAGTAACCCAGGCAGCTTCATGCACACTAAATGGGGAAACCCCTTCTCCTCATTTTAATGTCCCTAGAGTCACAACTATACCACATTTTAAAATCAATTTCAACTGAAAACTTTAGAGGACTTTGATGTCACTTTCACTTGGTGAAGGAAATTCCTATTTATGAAGGCCCAGCATCTACGGAGGACAGGAGCTGCTGGTTCATTTTCATCAGCAAAAATAATAAGCATCCCTGCCCAAATTATCAACATGGGATTTTTCAGTGTTCCTGAAAATTCCCCAAGCCTGGACTGAACCAGCCTGGTGAATCTGTGCTGGGCATTGCCATGAAGATGAACCAACACCCAAGGGAACTGTCCAATGGGTCTGTACTGAGAGGACATTACAGCAGTGTGATATGATTAAAACATGATTTAGCTCTGTTGTCTCACTATTATGTCTATATGCAGACCTTGTGCTATTTCAAATAAACACTAAACTTGAAGGGAACCAAACACTCCTACAGTAACTCTTACAAACAGAGAAAACTATGACCTTACAGAAGCAATCAAAAAATCATAAATGGGACTTTTACAGGATTTTGTATATCACCAGCATTAGGAACACTGTCTTATCCCTTTGCACAGATTCACATCATTCAGACATTAGGACTTCACCAAGCACAGACACTTCTACAGTGACAGCTTTTCAATTGTATCAAGAAGTAAAAAAAGGAAGAATAAAAGTATTGCTGCAATATAATTTCCCCTCATTTTTTTAAAGAAGGAGGAAACAGTCCAGTAAACTTGAAATCTATGCACATTTTTTAAAAGTCTGGGAAAACAATCCTTCCCACTGAATGGAGCTTGCCCTCAACAAGTATTCTGTCTTCTGCATTTCTCCATCACATCTCCAAGGCTTGGAGATTATGCATGTATCAAAGCTAAAAGCAGCTTATTTTCACAAATTGCAAATAAAGTTGCTGCAGTCACCATCTATAAAGATTACAAAGGTGTAAAAAGCACCTTAAGCCTTTAGGACACAAGTGTGAACCACTTATTTTCCAAGGGGAATCACAGCAAAATATTCTCACTTTAAGACAAACTTAGACTTTTTTAGATAGATTCTGGTAACTTTTAATCATTAATGGAGGCGAAAGCTGTCCAAAAAGGACACTTTTTTACACAATGTCATACAGAAATGTTCACTGAAGAAAGAAAATAAGAATCAAGAAAATACTATAACCAGTGTCCCAAACAGATGACATGGGTGATAACCATGGATATTGCCACCAGAGCATTTCACAGAAAGCTGTCTCTGCAAAATGCTCTAGAAGATGTGCAGTCATCACTTGTAAGAAACTGTGGCAGGCAGTATGAAATCCATGGTGTAACAAAGGGATCAAACATCCTTACAAACACTGTACATGACATTAAGTCATGCTGCCGTTTAGGGTGAAAACAGGAAAACTTGGACCTCACATCTAAACAGCAGAACAGCAAGTTCTTGTAAACAAACCATCTGACTAGCCCAAATCTTTAAAGCACTAATTGTTTTCACAAACTGACCTGCCAGACTGCAACTTCTGTTCCCTCTCTCAGTGTTCATTATAGCTGATACAAGTGGAGAACAGAAATGAGGAGATTGCAGGAAGCAGGGGCCACATCAGGACCATGCTGAAAGCATTAGAAAACATTAGAGCTGGGCAGACTGCAGGAGAAAGGAAAAAAGCTTTTTGTTTTCCCTATCATAGGCATATTGCCATTTTATGAAGGGCAGCCTTACCACAATCTTTGTTAATATTTATACTTGAATCAATACCTTTTTTTCCCAAACATTTCTCAGAAAAAACACAGCCACATAGTTTTAGTAGGAATGAAGGTCTGGTGCACCAGGCTCTGTCTATAAGAGAGCAAATCCCATGGAAGCAGCATGTGTGGTCACACTATTACTCTTTTCCTTCTTCCTGTGGCAGGAGAATGATGTATTGCAGAATTTTGCTGCAAGATACAGCCAATTAGCAAGGACAGAGACTGCAGCACTAGTTACCTGATTCACTCTTTGCAACACCTGTAGATCTGGACAACACAAAGACAACTCATTATATTTGCAAAACAGTGACCCTTTAATAGCCCATGTAGTTGTTTGCTGCTTTTTTTGGAGTACTCTCTTAAAAATGAGATAATAAGAAGCATTAGTAAGGCATTATGAAGCAGCACAGACTGTAACTTTTTTTTGTCATTTTGTTCAAGACACACTGGTATGAGAGTTTACTGATAAAAAAAAAAAAAAAAGAAAAACATCTCAACATTGTGGCAGGCCAAGCATTTATCTCCTTTATACAGTACAGTTATACACAGCCACATGGCCTTTTCAAAATGCACTGTGGCCAGCTTACAAAGTCCACCCACTCTGATAACAGATGAATGACATCAGTGACAAAATGGAGGAGTTGACTGTGGGTAGCACATTGCTGGCTCTTCCTGCTCCCCCTGCTACTGTAGATAACAGTACTGAGCAACTTAGTTAATATTTTTATATTAAAAAAAGAAAAAGTGTTAAACATTTTCCTTCTTATTGCTAGGGTACGAAGCCCCTTCCTTGCTCATTGTGAA